AGTCTATATGGAAAATCTGAGACAATCAACTGACAAACCACTAAAACCAAAGAGAGAGCTTACTACATAGTCAGATACAATAACAATATACAAAAAACAATAAGTTTATATAGTACCAGTCATCACAATTCAGAATTATTCCATTTTATTCAACTTATTTTTTTAGTCAAAAATGTACAAATATAGTTGAAACTTCGTGTGCATCTCCCCCATTTTATTAAACTCTCTCCACCCACTTATGTAACTACTATCTTGTATATGAAGTTTTCATTCCCAAGTATGCTTTTTATGTTACTATTTGTGTTATGTGTGTCCTTAAAAATATGTATTGAAACTATTTAAAAATTAAAAATAAGTATATATATTATTTTGCTCATTGAAAAATTGTATACAAATGGTATTAGATTATATGTAATACTGCAACTTGATTTTGTTAATTAATATCTTTAGACTTATTCAAGTTGATATTTACGCACATATGGCACTCAATCTCATTATTTGGAATCATTATGATTGTATATTTTTTTTGAAATATATTGTTTCTCTAATTTCCTGAAATATATATGTTAAGGTAGAAAATGCATCTCAAAGGATGTATAGGCTAAAGACAAATATCACAGTGGAAGTACAAAGCAGTCCGCTAGGAAAAAAATAGAAACAATCTTGATGTCCATCAATAGGAAGAAGGTTAAATAAATTATGGCACATCTATAATATGGAAAATGATCTGGCATCAAAGGATCAAAGATAATAAGATCCATCTATGACAAACCCACAACCAATGTCATACTTAATAGGAAGAAATTGGAAACATTCCCTCTAAGAACTAGAACAAGACGTCTACTCTCTTTGCTCTTACTTACCATAGTACTAGAAGTCCTAGACAGAGCAATCAGGCATGAATAATCAATCAGAAATAAAAGATATCCAAATAGAAAAAGAGAAAGTGAAATGATCCCTCTTTGCAGATTATATAATTCTATACCTACAAAACCCTACGGATTCCACTAAAAGACCCCTAGACTTGATGAGGAACTTCAGTTAAGTCTCGGGATACAAAACCAACATTCAAAAATCAGTAGCATTTCTATACACCAACAACAGTCAAGCTGCGAACCAAATCAATAACACAATCCCATTCAAAAGAGCCACAAGTATAAAATAAAATACTGGGAATACATCTAACTAAGGAGGTGAAGGATCTCTACAATAAGAACTACAAAACACTGCTGAAAGAAACCCAAACTGACACAAACAAATTAGAAAAACACTCCATGCTCATGTATTAGAATAGTCAATATTGTTAAAATGTCCATAATTCCCAAAGAAATCTACAGATTCAATACAATTCCTATCAAACTGTACACATCATTATTCATAGATCTAGAAGAACAATACTTAAATTTATATGGAAGCAAAAAAGTTCAAATGGCTAAAGCAATCTTGAGAAAAAGAACTAAGTCAGAGGCATCATATTACCAGACTTCAAACTTTACTACAAGGCTACAGTAACCAAAATAGCATGATACTGGTACAAAAATAGACACATAGGCCAATGGAATAGAACCGAGAACCCAGAAATCAAGCTGTTTACCTACAACCAACTGATCTTTGACAAAGATGACAAAAAATAAATATTAGGGAAAGACACCCTATTTAATAAATGGTACTGGGGAAACTGGCTAACCAAATGCAGAAGAATGAAGTTGGACACTTCCCTCTCACCATATACAAAAATTGACTCAAGATGGATTAAAGAATTAAATGTAAGACCTCAAACTATAAAAATTCGATAAGAAATCCTAGGAAACACTCCTCTGGACATAAGCCTAGGAAATGAATTTATGTCCAAGTCCTCAAGAGCAAAAGCAGCAAAAACAAAAATGTACAAATAGCACCTAATGAAACTAAAAAAGCTTCTGCCCAGCAAAGAAACTATCAACAAAATAAACAAACAACCTACAGAATGGAAGAAAATATTTGCAAACTATGACTCCAACAAAAGCCTAATATTCATAATCTATAAGGAACTTAAATTGACAGGAAAAACAACCCCATTAAAAAGTGGGCAATTGAAGGGGGACAAGAGAAAAAAAAGTGGGCAAAGGACATGAGCAGACATTCTCAAAGGAAGACATACAAGTGGCAAACAAATATATGAAAAATGCTCTACATCACTAATCATCAGATAAATGCAAATCAAAACCACAATGACATACCATCTCACACCAGTCACCATAGCTATTATTAAAAAGTCAATAACCAACAGATGTTGGCAAGGTTGCAGAGAAAAGAGAATGCTCATAACTGTTGATGGGAATGTAAGCTAGTTCAGCCCTTGTGGGAAACAGAAAGATTTCTCAAATAACTAAAAATAGATTTACCATCCAATCCAGCATCCTACTACTGCGTACATGCCCCAAAGGAGCATAAATCATTCTACCAAAAAGATACCTGCCCTTGTATGTTCATCATAGCACTATTCACAACAGTAAAAACAGAGAACTAATCTAAATTTGCCCATCAGCAGTACACTGGATAAAGAAAATGTGATAAACATACACCATGGAATAATATGCAGCCATAAAAAAGAACAAAATCATGTCCTTTACAGCTGGAGGCTGTTAGGCTAAGCAAATTGAACAGAAACAGAAAACCAAATACCACATGTTCTCACCTGCAAGTGGGAGCTAAACACTGGGTATACTAGGGAATAAGAATGGGAAAAACAGACTGGGGACTCCTAAAGGAAGGAGTAGGGAAGGGGGAAGGATTGAAAAACCACCTATTGGGTACCATGTGCACCATTTAAATGGTGGGTATAGTAGAAGACCAAACCACACCATCACACAATATACCTAAGTAACAAACTTGCACACGTACCTCTTGACTCTAAAAAAAATAAATAAATAAAAGAATTTATTAACTCTAAATGTACTGACATGGAAAGATTTCCAGGACACAAAAGAAAATGTAAAACACATGACCATTTTCATGTTAAAAATTAAAATTGTGCATTTTAAATTTTTATTTTATTTTAGATTCAGGGTATACAAGTGCATGTTTGTTACATGGACATACTGCATACTGTTGGAGATTGGGCCTCAGGTGGCCTGTTCCCCAGATAGTTAACATTATACTCAACAGGCAATTTTTGAACACTAAACCCTCTCTTCGCCTCCTCTCTTTTTGGTATTCCCAGTATCTATTACTCCCATCTTTGTGGTCATTTAGCTCCTGCATATAAGTGAGAACATGTGGTATTTGGTTGTCTGTTTATGAGTTCACTTAGGATGATGTTCTCCAGCTCCATTGATGTTGCTACTAAGGACATGAATTCATTCTTTTTTATGGCTGCATAGTGTTCCATGGTATATATATATACCACATTTTCTTTATCCAGTTAATCACTGGTGGGCACATAGGTTGATTCCATGATTTTGGTATTGTAAATGGTGCTGCAATGAATGTATAAGTACAGGTATCTTTTTTATATAATGATTTCTTTTCCTTTGGGTAGATTCCTAGTAATGGGATTGCTTGGTCTTTTTTTTGTTTTCCATAGAAGTTGAGCAAGTTTAGAATCCACCAGCGGTGTATGAGTGTTCCCTATTCTCCACAACCACACCAACTCTGTTGTTCTTGGACTTTTTAATAATAGCCATTCTGACTGGTGTAAGAATGGTTATACCACTGTAGTTATACCACTGTGGTTTTAATTTGCATTTCTCTGATGATTAGTGACGTTGAGCATTTTTTAATACATTTGTTGACCACCTGTGTGTCTTTTTTTTTTTTTTTTTTGAGGTGTGTCTTTTTACTCACTTTTTGATGAGGTTTGGTTTTTTTTATGTTGAATTGTTTGAGTTCTTATAAAATTTTGGATATAAGTCCTTTTTCTGAGACATGAGTTGCAAATATTTTCTCCCATTCCCAGAATAGGTTTTCTGTTCAGTCTGTTGATTATTTATTTTGCTTTTTAGAAGCTTTTTAGTTTAATTAAGTCACATCTGTCTATTTTTATTTTTGTCACAATTGCTTTTGGGGTCTTCATTATAAATTCTTATGCCAAGCATCTTCTTGGTCCACAGTGAAATAAAATGAGAAATTAACACTAACAGGAACTCCTAAAACTACACTACTACATGGATATTGAACAACTTGCTATTGAATGACCCTTGGGAAAGCTACAAAATTAATGCAGAAATAAAAAGAAATTCATTGAAACAAATGAAAATAGAGACACAACATACCAAAAACATTTGGGATACAGCAAAACTCGTGCTGACAGGAAAGTTTATAGCATTAAATATCTACATTGAAACACAGAGAGATCTGAAATCAACAGTTTAATTTTGCACCTTGAGAAACTAGAAAAATAAAAACAATCTACACCCAAAGCTAGCAGAAGAAAAGAAGTAACAAAGATCAGATCAGAACTCTATGAGATTGAGACTAAAAGAATCAATGAGCCAAAAAGCTGGTTCTTCAAAAGGACAAATAAAACTGACAGATTGCTAGCTAAAATTGTGTATTTTTAGTCACATATATGTAAATATATTCTAGAAAAACGGAAAACTGATAACATTGAGTGCTTTTGAGTAAGTGAACACTTTTGAGGGAGTGAAAAATATGCTTTTACTATCTATTGTTAGATTTTTAAAAATGAGAATATGTTCTTATATTTTTTAGCAGATAAATTGATTATTTATAGATAGAAAAAAACTAGACACCTCCTCCTCCCCCCAAAAAAGTTGTTGAGAAGAATGGACAAAAGACAACTCCCATGGCATACAATCCAGTGAGAACTGATCATATTATAAGTGTTTCAAAGGGTTATAATTGGCATCCTTATAACCTAAAAGTCATAAGACTCTATAGTTATATAGTCATATCACTATATATTTCAACTGAAGTTTCCATTTTATGATGCTTTCCTTTTTATTTTTTAAATTAGAATATAGGAAAGTAAGACAAACAGTCACAATGAACATACTTACTGACAGATCTGAAAGTTTTTGATCGGAGAAGACAACCACGAAAATTCAAGCGCAGCACATTTAGACGCCATCTTTGCAAAGTAGACACTATATATTTATCTGGAATTACATTTTTCACAGTGGAAAGATCAATCTAAAAAAGATGAGCAAAAAGTATTAATAAATAAGAAAGATCTGTTTCATGTAAAAATTTAAAATATTTTAAAGCATCAAGTACTAAAATTTCTTCACATCATTTCCAGATAGAAAAAAAGAGACTGAAATGTTAATTTGAGTGCTCTATTTAGTAAAGTATGCAAATTTCATAAATGAAATAATACACACACACACACACACACACACACAACCTGCTTGTTTCTGAAAATGATTTGAGTTGACTGATTAAAAATATAGCAAATTAGGATTTAAAAAATGTCAATGCAAATTGGCTTCCTAATGTCCAGTCAGTTGTCAGTCAAGTATAGAGAGCTAAGAAAATTTGGGAGCAAAAGGTATTCCATAACTCCATATACTTTTGTGATTATAGGTCAATACAAACTTTAACAATTCTACTTCTAGGAATTTATTCTGCAGTTGTAATCATACATGTGTACAAAAAAGAAGCAGGATGTTCACTATAGGATTTTAATAGCAAAAGTGGGAAACGAACTAAGTATTTTTTAATTAAAAGACTGATTAAATAAATTGAGGGACTTCCATACAAAAAAACACTGGACAGAAGTTGAATTCAGAGCAAAAAATCATCAACTCAGGAAAAGAAAACCTAAAGCAATAAGGTCCAAGTGTGTTGCAATCCGATTGGTTGATTCAATTCAGGTACAATATCCACAGTATCTAGAGGTCTTAATAGACTCAACTCCCTCTTCAATGCCGAGCTTTTTATGAAAGTTGGGTCTCAGAGATTAAAATTATGTTATTTTAAAAGAACCTGGAGAGCAGAAATTCTATGCTGCCAGATAGGGAAAAAGCAAATGACAGACCTGGCATTCCCTTGTAAATATTTAATAATTAAGAGCATATTTTGTAGTCAGATCAGAGTTTGAATCCCATCCCAGACACTTAACAACTTGGGAATTATTTAAGCCTTAGTTTTTTCATCTGTAAAATGCGAAAAATAACACTGCCAACTCAGGAGGCTACAGAGGCAAATTGAGAAAAATACAAGTAAAGTGCTTAGTATAGCACCTAGCAGGTAGGCAGCACTCAATAAATATTAGCTACGAATAGTACATTCAAAAAACAAGACAAAGTAGCAGGAAACATAGAATTACAAAATAATTTGAAAAACCAAGCATGAACTAGAACTAAAATACATAACACATAAGCAAGGCCTGTTTGATATTCTTAGTGCATCTGTATGCGTGCAGACATACATAAACTGGCATTTTCTAATACGAACCTCTAGTCTGGCATTTCTGCACTATTCTTGCCCTAGTACTATTTTTGTACGAACTTTGTAACCTGGAATGTGTCTGTTTCTCATTCCAAAGAGACATGGGAGAGGACTCAGCCAACAATAAAAAATAAGCAAATAAGCATATGTCCTCCAACAACTTCTCTTATCTGTTTCTTGGATGTTACTTTAATCTCAACAAATATGGTCATTTATGCTATTAATCAATGTTCAGGTGGCAGCATTTTCCCTGTTGTCTAAAGTCCAGTCAATAGCTGACTTCAGCACCCCTCCTTAATGATAATGATTGGAGGACTGATGATATCACGTGCTCATACTGACATATGAATAGGTGGCCTGCTGCCATTTTGTGAAAACTCTAAAACTTACTCAAATAAACTAAGAGGAGTTGAGTAGATGCCATAGGGCTCTAGCTCCACAAGTTAATTCAATGTCTTTACATTCCATCAGAGCACCGTGCATCTTGACTGCATTGCTCTACTCTCACTCTCTGCAACAACGGCAAGAAGAGAATTGATTCCACCTTATCAAACTCACCTTACTTAACAAATTAGGCCTCCCTATCCCACGTTTATTTTAAGGTAGTAATTCTTTTTTTTTTTTTTTTTTTGAGTTGGAGTCTCACTTTGTCGCCCAGACTGGAGTACAGTGGCACGCTCCTGGCCACTGCAGCCTCGACCTGCCGGGCTCCGGCTATCCTTCCGCCTCAGCCTTCCGAGTAGCCGGAATTACAAGCGCGCTACCACGCCCGGCTGATTTTTGATTTATTGTAGAGATGAGGTCTTGCCAAGTTGCCCAGGCAGGTCTCGAACCCGCGGGCTCAGGCAATCCACTCACCTCAGCCTCCCAAGGCGCGGGATTACAGGCTGAGCCACCTAGCCCGGCTGGTAGTAATTCTGAAACTTTAACTTGCAACAGGATCATTAGGATGGATTGTTAAAATAGATTACTGATTGCTACCCCCAATGTTTCTGACTCAATAGGTCTGGGTGGGAGCGGAAAATTTGCATTTCCAAAAAGTTTCTAGGTGATGCTGATACTACTGGTGCCAGGACCACATTTTGAGAACCACTGGTTTAAAGTAGTAAACCTCTTGTTTATGTTACAGATGTTTGGAGGTGTTACTTTTTCCTTTGGAAAACTCATAAAGAAGAAAAAATGAATCCAAATGGTCTAGAGGAGAAAAAATATGTACGATATTTAGATGAGGACATGTCTTGCAGAAGCCTGGCAGGAGCTAGAAAAAGTTAATGCTTCTACCCAGAGACCTCATTGGATACAGATGGAGAGCATATGAGCACATGGCAGTGAGGAATAAAGCCAGGGCAGGCAGTTAAGTAGCTTTAAGTTCAGCAAATTTATCTTTCCACAATTGTGTGCTCCCCTTCATCCTACTTCTGCCTTTATTTGTGAGTGTTCAAATGTGGCACAATTATAACAAGCATTTTATCATAAACAATAGCTTTGTTCAGAAGCCAATGAGAAATCGAATGTTCACAAACTTAAGCCTTTAGCTGAAAATATTATCAATATTATGATATTGATATTATTCCTCCTCAATCAGCCCTGGCCACTCTGGGCTCACATAAACCTCTACTTTTGATAATTTTACATACCACCAGCCAAGCACACTAAATTCATCCTTTCTTTTTTGTAGAATTACACACACACACATACACACACACACACACACACACACAAATTATTAATTATGAAAAGGCCACACCACACACTCTAAACTATCTTTCCCAAAGCCTAAAAAAAAGTCCTAAAGTACTAGGACTCGATATACAATCTGTGCTCAAGGAACTAGAACTAGACACACATTAATAATAAAATCAAGATGGGGTACAAACTATACAATAAAATGGGGTTTGTTTCAATCCAGAAGTAATATTCAATTTATATCTACCATTAACATTTCAAAATATTAATAATATATCTCTTAAAATAATAATATTATCTCTTTTTTTAACATCTTTTCTTCCAGGCTTGTTCTGGGACAAAATAAACAAATAAATTTTTTAAAATACACTTGCTGCTGGTAGCCATGGAATGAGAAGCAGGGAAAAAGGGAGTCCCTACTTCAGTTGGCTTCACAGCAATCCATTCTCCTTAAAGAAATAGTATAAAGACAAAGTTCAGTTAGTATCTACTTACAGCAGTCCACAATGAGCTTATTTGCATCATCAACATCCAGGCACGATTAACTTGACCACATATTATCATATCTCTTAAATTGAGGTAAAAAAAAATCTAAACACAAAGAAAAACACAATTTTAAAAAATATGTGAATATTGATATAACTCTTATTATTATAATGGCAATATAATCATACATTGTACTAACAGAGCTTAAAGTGTTAGATTTTATCTGAAGATAGAAATTGTATCTAAAATACTGAAAATTATCTAATGCCTTTGACATAATGTAATCCTTTTAATTGATAGTTGCAGAATGATGGTGAGTAATTCTGCTAGAAAACTAGTGATTTCCCTTAAAGTAGCTGGTATAGAGAAGGCATTTAATAATCATCTGGTGAACCAAACTGGATTCCTTCTAAATATAGAGGATTCCTGAGAAAGAGCAATAAACCCATCTTGGCTTTTATTTCTGGAAATATACTAAACTAAAAATATTAGAAAATCCTTTTGAGACAATTCATCAATAAATGCTAAAACAAACAAACAAAAAAAAACAAAACATAACTCAGTTTTTTTAAAAAGTGAAAGAAATCTGCAGGGCCCCAATCCTTATAAACCCAGACCAGTAAAAGGTGCTTCATGCTGTAATTGCTTGGGAGGGGGAAAAATGGGGATGATTGCTGCTTTTCATAACAAATGAGTTCAGATTTTACTGGCCATGCAGAGACAGAAGAAAGCTGACAGCTTTTCACAAAGCTTGTATAGTCATGCTCCATATAACGATGTCTTAGTCAATGACAGACTTCATATATGCTGGTGGTCCATAAGATTATAATGGAGCTGAAAAATTTCTATTGTCTAGTGACATAGTAGCCATTGTAACATATAGCATAATTACTTAATTTTTAAATAAATTTAGTGTAACCTAAGTTTACAGTGTTTATGAAGTCTACAGTAATGTCCTAGGCTTTCACTTGACTCACTTTTCACTCACTGATTCACCCAGAGCAACTTCTAGTCTTGCAAGCTCCATTCATGGTGAGTGCCCTATACAGATGCACCTTTTTTTAGTCTTTTATAACATATTTTTACTACACCTTTTTTATGCTTGGGTATGTTTACATATATAAATACCATTGTGTTATAATAGCCTACAGTATTCAGTACAATAACATGTTGTACAGGTTTGTACCCTAGAAACAATGGGATACACCATATAGCTGAGGTATGTAGTAGGCTATACCATCTAGGTTGTGTAAATATACTCTATCATGTTCACACAAGAATGAAATCACTTAACACACTTCTCAGAACTTATCCCTATCATTAAGCAATGCATGACTATAATTGTAACTAAGTCAGAAAGACAAAGAGAGAAAATCCAGGATTGTAAAAGAGTTAGAAAGAAGTCTACCTATTGGCAAAATAAAATGAAGGTACCCATCCTGGGATGAAACAAAAAATCCCCCAAGGAATTTGTAACCAAAGACCAAATATTGTGTGTGCTGACATCTGAATTTTAATCATGTATGGGATATAATTTGAATTTATTTTTGAAACTGAATTTGATATACTAACATACAAAGAAATTCCAAGTTAGTAATAACTATAGAACATTTTGTAGAAATAAATATCATTCTCTCTAAAGAGACACATATTCAAGTCAAGCATTATAGGATTCCCATAGAATAAGCCCTCCCAAAATGATCTCCCAATCAAAAATTACAAAATACATGAGGAAAAGAAACTAAAACAAGAACCAATAGAAATAATAACTTCATTAACAAAATTGTCAGATAGTGATTATAAAATCTTTAAAGTGATTATAAAACCTTTAAAGTGATAAAGACAAAAAAATAAAACTCTTGAGAATGATGTTGTCAAAAAAGAACTGGGCAGATTTGTAGAATAATACAAAATTCATGAAAATTTTAAAAATATAAAAGTTGAAGTTAAAAACTCAGTGGTGAATTAAATAGATGGGATTCTGCTGAAAAGAGAATCAACAAACTGGAATGTGTATCTGAAGAAATTACAGATGTAGAGAGATAAAGAGATGGAAAATATCAAAAATGTAAGAAGGTTAAGAATGTTAACAGACACAATATGTAACATTAAAAGGTCCAACATGGAATTTCCAGGAGGGAATGAAGAGAATGAAATCAAAGCAAAATTTTAAAATACCACAGACTAAAGTGTTCTTGAACTGATAAAAGCCAACAATTTTCAGATTAAAGAAGCAAAGAAGTTCCAAGCAGGAAAATGAAAAGTTACCAATGGCATTATAGTCAAATTGCAAAAGATCAAAAGCAAAGGAAAATCTTAGAGGCAACTGGACATAGATTACCTACCAAATAATGTCGCTTAGACAACAACAACATAAGGAAGAAGTCAATACAAAATAACTATCAATTTCAGATATGCAAGTAAATAACAACTCAAGAATGAGCATCGAGGAAAGACATTTCTGCCAATCACGGTAGTGTACCTGTAGTTTCAGCTATTTGAGAAGCTGAGGTAGGAGGATCACTTGAGCTCAAAAGTTTGAGGCCATTCTGGGACATGGTAAGATCTTTGTTTCTTAAAGAACAAAAAAATTTTAAAAGACACTTTAAGACAAAGACTGAGATAATTTGCCTCCACAGACCATTTACAAGGGAACTTCTAAAGAACACTGACATCAGAAGAAAGGAGTGAAATGCTGGTAGTATTAATGGGCAAAAAATCTACTAAATATGTAAGTAAAGTCACTAATCTTATAAAACTGTATAATGATTACTAATGTGTGGGGAGACAAAAAGAAGGTGGAACAAAAACACAAGATAACAATAATAACTCTAAGACTGGAGAGAGTAATCAGAGTTAGTGTTCAAAATGTTGATTATTATTCAGGAAGAAAATATTGATATTAATTTACTTTGGGCCTTATTAATAAACACACACATTAAAAATGTTTATGAGTAACTAATAAAATAATGGAAATATAATGGGTATTTTCTACAACATGAAAGTAGAAAAAAACGGGGAGTAGGTCTTAAAATGTAACTGAAAGCAAGTTTGGCCACCCACTGCTCAAAGCCAAACTTGAGAGACAAGGGTAGGTGAAAGGAAAGTGACTTTATTCCAAAAGCTGGCAGATGGATAAAAGGCCATGGTCATGCCTCAAACAGACCAATTCAGATCTTTAGGCTGAGTACAAGGGTTTAAAAAGGGAAAGTTGGTGTGGAAAATATGCGGGAGTTGCACAGGTACAAAAGTCTTGTTCTAATCGCTTATCTTGGGTGGTGGTCCTCTCAGAGGTTTGGTTGGTATTGTCTCAGCTGCATTCTGGTTATGGATTAATCATCTTGTGATTCCTCCCAAGTGGGAGGGTCCTTGGTCAGGCTGTTTTAAGATTAGCACCTGGAGTTTCTAAGCAAGCATGTGGTTAGATAAGCATGCGTAGTACATGAGAGTATCTAGTAGCTAATTGGAGAAAAAAATTTCTAAAACATGTTTCAAGGCTAAATCTAAAGACTAAAAAATAGAGGGGGAAAAAAGTTTTAAAATACATTTTAAGGCTCAGACACCTGGTTTCAAAAACTTAGTCAATAAAAGCAGGAGAAAAAAGTATATAAAGAAGATAATAAATAGCATACAATAAAATAAGAAAGACAAATCCAAGTGTATCAATAGTCACAATAAATTTAACAAAATTCACTGGTTAGAAGACAAAAATTTTCCCTAATAATGCTTTGTGCTTTAATATCTTTCCTCTGGTAGGAATATAGCTATCAGCTTTATTTTCTTTATTTTCTTTTTTAATTGATAAATAATAATTGTGATATATTTGTGGGGTACAATGTGATGTTTTGATATATGCTTACAGTGTGGAATGGTTAATTAACAAATCCATCAACTCACATAATTATCTATCCTTATCTGAAGAAAACATTTACTATCTACTCTACAGGACACAGAAAGATAAATACCACAATCTCACTTATATGTGACTTTTTAAAAAGTTGAATTCATAGAAGTAGAGTAGAATGATGGTTATCAGCTTTTCTTTCACTTGTGTTCATTTGTTTCATATTGTATTTTAGGTGGATTTTTGAAGATTATCTGATAAAGAGGCTGACTGCATAACAATTAAAGGAAACAATTCACTAGAGATATATAATGATCCTAAATGTGTAAATATCTAATAACATACCCATAAAGGAGAAATCAACAATCATGATGACAGATAAAATCACAAGATTAGGTATGTAGTCATTTGTCTAGTTAATCACTATGATCCAAAAGGATAATAAAATTTCTCTTATCTCCTCAAGGTCAAATTAATACAGCCTGGATTAGCCCAGGTACCAGAAAGATCCTTATTTATTTACATTCTAAGTATAAAAGGGTTCCCAGGACCTCAGAGACATCTCTAGCTCATAAAAGCTGGAGATATTAGGGCTTATCTGGCCCTTGGAGAGATGTATTACAAGAAGTCCTACCAACAATTAAATCAGTCCTTGAAATGGACAAGAAGCCTTGGAAAGGTATTATGGTGGATTCAGGGTAGCCTCAATACCGTCCTTCTAGTTTTGTACCTGTACTGTACTTTCAGAGGATGTTTGAAGACAGAGGAAGTGTTATAATTCGTCCTATATATGTTCAGAGAAGTAAAAGCAACCTAAAAAAAAAAAAAATAGTGGCAGCACAGAAAAGCGGGGCCAATTTTCTGAGAGTACAGGAGATAGAACGAATGACTTATTTAAGAGTTGTATAAGAACAACTTAGAGTAAGATGGAAGCAAAACTCCAAGGGCAGCAAACTGTAACACAACTAATTGAGATATAAAGTCCCTGAAGAGGACACCTGTAAGTCTCCTCAATACACATGAAGCAGACAGGAGAAACAAGAGCACAGCTCTTGTGATAGGCTGAGCCTTTATTCACTTGGTTTTTATTCCAAAATCACCTCCAATCCTTGGAAGGCTGCTGTTTATTCATTTCCTAGGGCTACAAACACAAATTATTACAAACTGGGTGACTTAAAAAGATAGAAATTTATTTTCTCAGTTCTGGAAGCTAGAAGTCTGAAACCAAAGTGTTCGGAGGGTGGTGCACCCTCTGAAGGCC